CCCCCACCCTCCGCCCCCCCACCCCTACTCCTGGTAGCTTTGTTCTCTCTGAAATCTTTTCCCATATGGAGTCAGTCTGGCYGAAAGTCTTTGGAATCCTCAAGATAACCATGCAGCATGTTCAGTAAAGAGATCTCGTCTCGATTATCTTATTACCTGTATCACCTATGTCACATTTGCACTTCTAAAAGATTGCATTTTGGATTTCCTTTGTGCATAAATGATAATTAATGATTTATTTAATTTTGGGGGATGTAGCAGTTCTTTACTTTGCAGCTCAGCTGGAAAGTGAGAAGCGCCGGAGCCTCCGAAGCTCCCAAGGACACGTGCACCCTGGAGTCTTGCCTGGGTGGGTCTGTCTGTTAGCAGTTAACAGTGTCCCCAGCCAGCCCTCGCAGCTCCAAGGGCGGTCTCTGCAGCAGTATCGCCACACCAGCCAAGGAAGGACCTGCTCCCAGATGCTTGAGTGGATGAATAATGGCACTGTAACTCAGATTCTCTCTGCCTCTCTGATAATGAGGAACAGAAGAGCAGAACGTCCCCGAGGCACCGCACCTGGACTGAGCTGCCTTCCTGTCTGCCCTGAAATCTTTGTTTCTCAGGAGACAGACAAAGAAGAGTGAGACTTTGGCCTCACGCCAGGCCCTCGATCTCAGTTACACTCAGTTCGGTCCAAATGCGAAATTATAAAACATCTTATAAAGTCAGTGAACCGTGCTTGAGGACATCGCACGTCTCTTAACTATGCAAACCATTATTTAATTGTGTGCTTTTTTTGTTTCTTGGACGTCTTTAGCAATAAATATATGCTGCTTGGCGACATCTCTCAACACCTTTGTTGTTCTCTTTTTCTCTACTTCTCACTTTTTCCCCTACAGGGACGATTTGCCAAGTAGAGTCAATTAAAAGTGTACATCTAAGTGAGAAATATCTGTTTGAGGGTGTGTGCGTGGTTTTGTAAGCGAGCTGTGCACTTCTTTGTGCGAATGTGTGAAATTATGGTATTTTCAAATGTGTGTGCGTAAACATTTGGTGTCTGTCTATGTCTCTTTCGGTGTGTCTGCGTGTGTGTATAAAGGCGGGGGCTCCCCTGGGGCCTGGCAGTATGGCGCTGTAGCACTGCACGCTCCTCCTGTGAAAACGCCTCCAATGGGACCCGGACAGCTGTGGCCAGCCTATACTGATTCACAGCCCATTACAAGTCTTATGACACACACAGACCTATTTTATTTTGGGCAACTCTTTTTGGCTCTGTGGTAGCATCCTTGTTTTGTCTTTCTGTCAGGAAGTATCTCTCACACGCACAAACATTTATTTTCATGACTTCTATTGTGCTAGGAATGCTTTCCAACATGCATCCGATACTGTTTTCCTCTTTTTTTTTTCTTTTTACTACCACTCCTTCAGCCTCCCACACAGTGACATGTTGCCCAATCAAATATGACTACTTACATTGTTTGTCACCCTCATGTGAAAGGAGTTATGTATTAAACAAAATGCAAAACAAAGAAACAAGTTAACAAGTATGTTCCATGCATTCATTCTGCCAGTTATACACAAGAACATAACACAAACAGCTCATGACAAACACAAATAAACTGAAAATGTCAAAATTATAAGAAAAAAGTCACTTTGCTGTGTTTTTGGAAAGAAATCAATCTCTTATACAAACATAACAACAGACATTTCTTTATGTTTAAATTTCATTTATTTAACAGTCACCGGATGATCAGATACATTCTCTTAAAAAAGAAATTGACAACAAAACTGATAATCTTTTGAGATTTTTAAAAACTATTGTACATTTTTTAATATATAGATTTTATACAAAATTAAAGTCAGTAAAWTGGGCAAAGGGTGAGAGTTATCTAAAAAAAAGAAAGCAAGAGAGAGAGAAYGAACAAGATTAGATTCAAACAACTATCACATTTAGGAATGACAAAGACCAATCTCTTTCATAAATAAATATAAGAAAATTAGACATCATATAWAGTTCTCTTTCCAGTAGCAGGGATTGCTAAACGTCTGTCGCATAGACTATAACATAACCGCTTTGTGAYGCCTGGGTACTTATAAAATTCCACGCATTTTCCACTAAGATTAACCGGAACCAGCGCAGCTAAAGGGCCTGAAATAAACACATTTACCTCAATAATGGGTCTGATAGTCTGTGCCGTGCTTGACCTTTGGCTGTAAAAATAACCCCCAGTCCACCCTCAACGCCATCCCCTCACACACACATTTTTCTTTGTGTGGTGACCAAAGAGTGGAAAGTCTCCTTGAGGAAGGTAGAGAACACAGGTGTCCTCTTTTTTGCCCCTCTCTCTCTCTCTCTCTCTCAAGGCCAGTGAAAAATAAGATGCACATACCCCACTCACAAACACAGAAACAACTGAGCAGAGCACATATGGGAGGGGATGCACGCTGTAGGAGCTCAGGAAGGTCATACTGCACTATGGTCCAACATCATTTAACCAATGGATTCAATCCTTACTCAGTCCAGTCCTCYTTGGCCCTTTGAATTTAAACAATACAACAACAACAACTACAAGACAACAGAATAAAGACACGTAAACTAGATGTGGATGACTGTGTTGCATTATCACCCTGGTTGATGTAGATTCATGCCACTTAGACTGGCTGCTTGTTTTCTACCTATATCTCTCCCTTTGCACCAGTTTGAATACTTGAAGCCCAAGGTTTAAGTACTGAAAACATGGAAACATAACACAGATAATGCAGATGATTTACGATATGAATACACTACCAATTTTCATACATACACATCCAAAGAGCATGAAAACAAAGGCTGACTGATCTCACTGCAACAACAGATAGTTTTACTTCGTCTCCATCTTTTGCTTTTTTTATTACCCTTTTTGAGCAGGCAAGTTGACGGTGACATTGGCCCTTCTCAGAGCAGAACAGCAGGCAGAGTGACTTGAAGTTAATCACCATTTTGTCTCGGTGCTTTGTTGCATTACATTGGAGAGACAGGCAATGGTCGGGACAGCAGGGGTGAAAAAGAAAGGACAACAAGGTAAGAGTCCCAATAATGACACAACGCTGCCGCAACACTTTGGAGATTAAAAGCAAGATGCTGAATTTCAATCAAGCAGCATTAATGGCTTGGTGTGAGGAATGGTCACTTTGTCTCCACCACCAGACAGAGAGATGGGGAGACAGACTGGTACAAGTTGGCCAGGTGAAACAAGGTGATATGACAATTTAATTCTCCAAATAACATGCTAGCCACTAATGATAGCATTATTTTAATGATAATGGTAATATTCTCTAATCAATGGCAAAGGGGGATTTATAAAATGTTACATCAAAGAGAAAAGTCAAAGCACCAAGGACTAAACACTGGCAGATATAAACGAATAAAGAAGGTAATGTATTTATTAAATGTAAATGGGTACAATGGAGATCAATTCAACTAAGCAGATACAATGTACCTAGTGTCAAAATATCTCCCTTGTGTCCATTTCTATTTTAAATCTGGTTAAAAAAAAATAGTAAAATGTCTACAGTTCAGTTATAACAGTGAATTACTCAGCAACTAAAATGCACCCCTGATAATTGAAAAGTAATCAATTTTAATTTATTTTCTGTTTTGACATTTTACAAGAGGACTTCCTTATTTCTTCAAGTCAAATGCAGCAGCCACCTTATAACACATGCCAAGCTGCCAAGCTCTGCCTGAGCTGCTCTGTGAAGGCATTGCACCGTGAGATGTGACCCACTTGCAATAAAGTGCATTCAGAGTTCAGTTCTCATGGTAGATGAGAAGCGATGCTGGGCAAGCACAGCTGAGAGATTGTCATCACAGTACAGCTGATACAAGAAAAAACTTAATCTGACATGAACTAGATTTCTCAGTAAGAAGGGGATCAAAAGAGGAGGGGTGACAGAATAACTGTCAAGACAACAAAAAGACATGGGGGGTGTTGGTCCTATAGGCTTTGTTTAAAGTCAGGAATGTCACAGTTGCGCACAGTGCTTCATGAGTATGGTTGTCCTGTTTGAAAGTAGAGAGGAATGTTTTTTTTTCCTGTTTGTTTAGCCAGGTACCCAACTCTGGTTGCTGTGGGCTTGCTGTGGACCAGCCAGACCACTCATTCCCATGCCCATAGTCACGCCCATTCCCATTCCCATGCCAATACCCACCCCCTGGGCAAGGGAGCAATCAAAGTTAAAGTCCATCTCCTCCCCAGAGTCCATGATATCATGGAGGAGGATAGACTCCACATCACAGTCCAAACTGCCATGGAACATGTCAATGTCAAGGTCAGCTGGTAGTCTTTCATGGAGGTGAGGCTGGTGATAGCTGTGGTAGTTGCTACCAACACTACTGTTGCCCATCCCCTGGCTGTGGTGGTACAGTCCATTAGTTATGCCCTGGTTTTGAGAGTCTGGGTAATGATTGTGACGAGGGTGTGGGGTAGAAGCCACATGACATGAGTCCTGGGGCATGTCAAGCATACCTGCAGGGTTTGGGGGAAGGGTAGTTGAAGCAGGGAGGTGGGCGTGGGATGGGGGGCTGTACAAGTAGGGAGCTTTGTGATTGTAAGTTTGTAACTGATTGCTGTTTCCACGTGGGGCCAGAGATGCAACTCTTGGTGGTGTGTGGGTATGGCTCCTGCTGAGGCTGTGGCCATTGTGAGCGAGGCTGTGAGGTGAGTTGTGGTTGGTTACATTGTTGTGATTATGACTAGTGGTATGATTGTGAGTTCTGTTATGGCTATGACGTCCGTTGTGGTGGACAGGTTGATGGCTGTGAAGGCTGGATCCTACTCCATTACGGGCTTGACCAATCATAAGATGACCTTCCCTCTCCTGTCCCATAATCATGTCTTTGGAGCAGTATTGTTGACAAGCAGAACCACCAGTTAGTAAACTTTGAAGAGCATTTGTACTGGAGTATGCCCGCGTGGTTCCAGAGAAACTGGCTGGCTTGTTCTCCTGAATAGTCTGCATTGGTGAGTGGTGACGTAGCATACCCAAGCCTGTGGCATTGTAGACGCCTGCACCATAGGAGCCCTGCCCTTTCATTCCAGAATTGTAGTGGTACACAGCAGTTTGATGCTTATGTCTGCCAACAGCTGGATGTTGCTGCTGCTGACGATGAAGATGATAACCATCTTCCACCATATGCTCATCCAAACTTATGGCACCTGTTAGGTTAGCCAGCTGAGGCAGCTGCTCAAGAGGTGGACAGTGATTTCCTGCCCCTATGGATGGAGAGCGGGCACTGGCTGGTGATGGGTAAAGGTGAGGGGAGGTTGAACAGGACAAGCCACCCTCCTCTGGTTCTTCTGGCTCTCCCTCAGCAAGAATTGGAGACAGACGCCCACTCAAGGTGGAGGCTGATGAACTAGCCCTGGAATGGAGATCTGTCCAGGCATCAAACTCCCCATCTGTCCCTGATGAACCTCCAGATCCTGGGAGAGTTTTCTGTGATGGGCTACTATTATCTGGAGAGCTTTGGAGGCCCACTACAGCAGACCCTGCTCCAATCCCAGGACGGCCTACCCTCTTGCCTCTGATCCGGCCTTTGCTTTTCAGGTATTTAGTGCTGTTGTCCATGGAGACTGCCCGTCGCCGAGGGGCCTTACCCATCTTTCCACCATCTGGGTTCAGCATCCACCAAGAACTCTTCCCTGTCCCCTCGTTCTGAACTCGAATAAACCGTGTGTGGAGGGAAAGGTTGTGCCGGATGGAATTCTGTTGAGAAAAAAAAACAGCAAGTGAGCACAGATGAAATGTATTATTACGCAAACAACTTTTATTAGGTGAATACAAATTTCTGAAATTTATGAGGTTCCATTAAAACTCCCTGCACCAACTGTAAAAATAATAAATATTACCACAACTAATCATAGTTGCAGCAAACACTAACAAAGTTACATAAAGTTTATACATGTAACATCTTAGAAATTTCTACCAATCAGGTTGTTTTTATGTTCATTATTCAGTCTAAAAAAGAACTGAACTATTATAGAAAGTCAACTCCCTGTGTAACCAGTCAAAATTTTGAGCTCGCTCAAAACCATGAGCATTTTCAGGGACAGCCACATCTGGCATGAAACAAGACCCTGTCAGCCTCATCCAACCTGAAATAACCTGAGACTCAGTCTTGAGAGATCCTCTTTCTGCACATCAGTCCTCTCACTTTCATTTCCATCAATCCATCTGTCCTCCTCTACTTCTTCCTTTAGCAGGGCTGATGTAAGCCGCTGAGGTTGAGCGTACTCTATGTTTGAAGTTGGTGCCAGTCTGGCTTAGTGCCAGCCCTGTCTCTCTCGCTCATAGCTTGAATTGGGGAGGGGAGTGTATTGCAAGACTGAGCCAGGAGCAAGCAAGGCTAATGGATGTATCCAACCCTCTGACATCTACCTTCAGTGCCTATCGCTCTCGCCCTCCCTTGTTTAGTCTTTATCACAGTCTTGCTTTCTCTTTTGTCACTGAGTGCTACATATTTCAACGTGTCTAGATTTTCCTTTTTCTTATTTTACACAGTTCTTTGAACATAAGTCATTTTCCACCTCTGCGTTCAATATCTCCTGCTTCAATTATAAAGTGTGCCACCAATTACTTTCCCATTATCCTCTACGACTGCGAGTACAGTCACTGGCTCAGTAATTCATAGAATCAAGTTGTTGTTTCTTTTCTTATCATTTACATCTCCAAGGTTGGTGGTGGTGGTGTTGCAATTCTGCTCTCAGTTGTGCGTGAGCCTTTTTGACTATTACCCAGGAAAATATCAAATCAAAAACATTCATGTCTGAGAATATACTGGCACACTAGATTATTACAGACTGAGAGGTTCTTATTCTTCCTCCATCTCTATTATGTTGCAGATTATATGTGTTCTCACAGAACTGCGGGGAAACAAATAAATCAAATCGGTGTGAGGAAAACACAAAGGGGAAGCAAGCTGAATTCAGGTGATCTGTGAATGCCTCCTTGGGTTATCTCGCTGTGACACCCTCGGCATTGGGTAACCATGGCAACCGGGTAAACGTGAAGCGGCAGAACTATATCGTGTTGTGGCGAGAGTCGAGAGAGTCGGAGAAAGAAATGGAGGGAGAGTGGGGGGATGGGGAAAAGGATGCAAGAGGAGGAGGCTGTTTGATGCTTCTGCTCCAACACTAAGCAGCCTTTCATCTTGGCAGTGCGGGTCCGCAGGGGATGCCCGCTCCCTGCTTCTGACGGCTTCACTACGTGCAGCGCCAACTCCCCCTCTCCATCTCCGTATCCTCCACCTATCACGCCACTCCAAATCATTCCCCCCGTCAAGTGCCGTGCGTGCCAAAATTAAAGCATATGTAAGCTTTAGAGCCATTTGACAAAAGCTGGTCGTAAATGGGACAACTTTCAGAGAAATGAACTACTTCGCCTTTCCACTCTGTGTGACCTGTTTGATTCAAATCTCAATTTATCCCGCTATAAGGGAAGAGCAGCCTCATTGAACTTGAAGGGATTTGTCATCCCAAACCCTCTTTATCTGATGAATCCACCTGCTAGAGAGATTTGAGAGATTTCAGATGGTGGCCAGCCATGGCATCAACACCATCATCGTAGCTGCCTACTGGGTATCTGATATAGAGCTTCCAACACACGTCCCCCCCCCCCCACACCCCCCTCAGTCATTCTGTTTGTGTGTGTATGTTTTGGAATTTAAGAATAGCTCAGGTCGCAGGTGCTTTGGTTGTAGGTGTGGTTATGTTTACCTCCTGTTCCCTGAGTCAGGGGCAATTTTGCCAGCCCATGGCCCTCACACCCCCGAAACAGGCAGTCACTGCTAATCCCCCTCCATCCCCGAGTAATCCCAGACAATCCTGGGCTAATCCCAAGTTGATTCAGAGGCACTCCCAGCTGGGTGTCTCACACACAGCTATGCCAGGTCAACATAGACGCAGTGGGCAGGAGGGATATGCTATGATCCTATAGTATTGCAGCATAAGGAGAGCGTGTAAAGAGGAGAAAACGGACAAAATAAAATCCTTATAGGATGTAGAAGTAAAGTGGTACTAATGTTTGTGTGTATTATGGTAGATGACAAAGCAGTGAGATGATGTTAACCATATTTTTGACGCCTCCATCAAATCAACCACCTTTATTCGAAGCTCTGTCCTTGAGGGTTGGCTTTGCAACATTTTTACCCCTACAGCTTGAACAGAATAAAATTGAAAACTTTATTATGTATTAAATATTCATAAAATGGAAATTCTTTTTCAGCCCCCTGGCTTGCTGAGGCAGACGAATGAAGCCCACAGAAACATACAATGACAGAGGAACACACACATCACACGCTTGGGCCCAGGAAGCTACTTCCTATTCAAATCATACCCCTTTAATACAATGGGCTTGTGAAGAGGGTTCTAAATAATGAATGAACCAGTGGCTAAGCTTTTCCAGAAAGACACACTGCCTGGTCCCTTAATACTGAAAAGAACAGATGGAGTCATAAGTAGTTATGCGACTTTTTTTTTAAATCACGGACCTCATCAGTCCTCAGTTACAACTAACGTAATTTGGTGCTGAAGCAAAAGAGGTAAAGGGTTATAGCTTACAGACCAGTCAAAGCCAATTAAGGTGAACAAGGTTTTCTAGGATATAAAGGAATCAGCTTGGAATAGGCTCACAATAAGGCTTTCGAATCCTGATAACTGATTTAGTTATTTAATAAATACCAAATCACGGGATGGGATTTTGTTTCGTCAGATTAAAAGCTTAGGTTCTTTAAAATCAGATCTGACAAGCTGACACTTTCCAAAACACACAGGTGGAATGAACAGCATGTGGTTATTTTCGTGACCTAAAAGAGAGGAAGTGTGCTCAAACCGAGGAGAAGAAAGAAATGCATTAATCCACTGTATCAGATTACAGCTCAGTATTTGTTGAGGCACGTATTTCTGGTATTCGTCCCTAATAATGTCTTTAAGATTGTACAATTTTGCCTCTTGCAGATCTAAAAATTCCAATCAACTGCACTATTGTTCTCTTTCTTTCTTAAACATGCGAACTCAGTTTAATTCAGGCATTGTAAAGGCCTCTTTAGAGCAGACAATCAATGGAGTTTAATGACTATCAGTGCTGGAGCTTAGCACACATCAAGGTCTGATTGAACTATACAATCCACCTGTATTATGAAGCCAGTATGGGTGCTCAATAAACTATGTCTTAACTGTTCTCACAAAAATGTCTAACTGCCACAGCCTTGCGTGTTAAGTGATTGTGCCCTATTGGCTACTTTGGCTTGATGCCAAACACACTCTTTTGTCGCTGTTCCCATTGTGAGTAAGGCATCAATATTGGGAGTAGATACTGACTGAAAGGAGTAGAATTTGTTATAGTGCCCAGTAATTCATCTGAAATAACCTGACCGACTGGCACAAGTTCAGCTGTGGTGGATGGTGTTGTGCATAAGGGGTGGGAATAAGAGGTACCACGAGGGGCCTCTCCAAACTATACAAAGGAGTGCCCTCAAAATGCCCCTAACTTGCCCATCCCCCTTTTTAGGCCTCCTTCTGTATCCACTCTGGATTTTCCCACTCACACACAGAGGAGCAAGGAAACAGGTCAAATGGTTTATAAGACCCAACTTGTGGCGAATGTGCACTCATTCAAACAGAACTTAGTGAAAAACTAAGAACTGTGAATGGAGTCTGGGAACTGGCAAAAAGAAACCACTCACCCGATTCAAACAACCTCAAGGGTGAAGCCGTGTGGTGCGCTTGCCCAGCTAAGAACACAGCAGCTGTTCTTGTAGTGGCACCGGGTAAAGCCGTTTGCCACACTCGACTGGTATTACCAAACCATTTCATGCAGAATGGATCCATTATATATTGTCAAAGGGTATCCCTCCATGGTGCACATTCATTTGATAAGCCCAAATCAACGGGGAGTAACAGAAGCACTAACTGTGTTTATTGTGGTGCTGTTTTTTGCCTGTGCAGAAGGCAGAAGGGATCAGGGGGAGGGGAGTTTTCAACACAAGCAGTTTTGTTCAGCACAGGAATGAGTTTTGTCAGCTAAGCCTGTCTCCAGGCTATTGGTGGAAATTAGCGCCAGCTAAATATTCGCTTTCCGTGATTGATGTTACGGCTTGGGTTGTCCCTTTGAAGGGAAATAAAGAATTTAGAGCCATGTGGATTAAAAGGGACAGAGCTGGGAGAATTTTATGCGTCAGAGGAGGGACTTGAAGTGCGACTGAAGGACCTAATGGCAGTACAGATATGGCACGATGCGGCTCTGACAATATAGTGTATCAAAGAGAAAAGACAAGCACAACTTTGACAGTGAGTACGGGAGGGGGGAATTAGAAATTGTTTGTGTGTGTGTATGTGTGAAAGAGAAACAGAGATATGTAGTTATTTGCCTGAGAAGCCCAGAGCCAGATGATTAAAATCCCTTTAGGAGGCTTCTTTAAGAGAGACAGATGGGCAGACAGGCCTGTTTTGGAATGCAATCAAATTGAAAAGATTAAAAAGGAGTCTCTTTTATTAGGAGGTGAGAAACAGTTACTTCTCTGCCACATGCCATCATCGCCTCCACAGCAGTGGTCACGACTGCATTGGCATGCAAAGCACAGTGAAGCCCTTGTTGAGAAAGAAACAGACCTGAGATTAGGAATTGCATACATCTCAGTGCATCACTGAAGAATTGCTGAGGACTAGCAGGCACTAATTTTGTTTTAGTTGACCAGACATGCTCTACGG